GATCATTACAATGGATTTTAAAGACAAAAGAGAAAGGGAGTGGTCAGTGAAGAGCACCGGAGTTGAGCCTTTTGTCATCCAGTGTCTTCAATAGAAAGAGAGAGACAGGAAAAAAGATAAAGCAGATAAATGAAAATGAGATTGATAATTTTCATTTATCATGCGATTAATTAATTTATTGTTTATTGCGACAGGCCTACCGCTAGCTTAGCACTACGTTGGTGCTGGCCATTGTTGATGGTGGGGTGGGGACTGTTGACAGGGCGGGATGCCCTGCTTGTATAATGGTAGGGAAAACACTGGATTTCACCTGTAGCACGGTGGTGCAGTTGGTAGAGCTGCTGGCTGGAGTTTGCATGTTCTCTCCGTTCATGCGTGGGTTCTCTCCGGTACTCAGGTTTCCTCTCACAAACCAAAAACATGCATGTTAGGCTAATTGGTAACTCTAAATTGTCCCCAAGTGTGAGAGAGAGAGTGAAAGGTTGGTTGTCTTGTTTGTCTCTATGTGTCCCTGTGATGGACTGGAGACCTGTCCAGGGTGTACCCCATCTCTCGCACAGTGATTGCTGGACATGGGCACCAGCGACCCCCTGCGACCCAAAAAGGCGGAAGCGGCTATTTATGATTGATGGATGGATTTCACGTTGAAAATCACATGCTGAGACATGTGGACTTAATTTAGCATGTGGGATTCATTTTCTGCACATTTCCAGTGTCATTATGGAACACGCATTTATGGATATATACATGTACACGTATGTCTACATATTGCTGTTGTACCCACATGGAATCACATGTGAGAAAAACATGTTAAACTCATGTTGTTCTTTTCATACAGCAAGGCCAAACAGAAGGAAATCAGTTAGGACATGCGTCCCCTGCAGGACACGACCCTGAAGGGTTTGTGCTGCTCGTAGCTTCAGTGTCCAACAATCTGAACATGGATACACTTGAGCTCCAAAAACAGTATGTACAGACATGTATGAACTTATATCCACCTGTATATTTATTTAAAAAATAACTATTTGTGAACTATCTTAATAATGAAAGACCAACACAGACAGCAATTTATCACGTTGCAGTCTGAATATAAATGAACTGATAATCAATGTGGGTTAAAGCCGATGGCACTGAGTGGCCAATTAAAGTAGAATACTGGTCAAGCATCAATATTTACACATGGATCTGATTTCATTCTGTGCTGGGCCACTAGAAAAGAACTTCTTTCCCTCAGTGGGTGCACTGAGGTACTGGTGCAGTGCAGAGATGAAGAGTATTTATGACAGCATCACCACCTCAGGTGTTTCTGAGGCAGGCTTTATCCTGCAGTGATGGTATACTGAATCACATCAGACAGTAATAATGTTGATATTGTGTCCACGCTGCACAAAACAACGAGTTTGAACAACTGCAGAGTGATGTGTTAATAAATATCCTCATTTGTCATCTTCACAACAGCACATTTGTGTTTTGTTACATGTGTGAGTCCTCAGGCACTGCTACAGCAAATAGTAAAGGGTAAAACAATCATATTATTTAAATTAAATAGCTACATTATACTTCCATTAGAGTGGGGATTGCAGTAAACTGTGCACCATATTTTGATTAATCGTTTGTGTTTTGCTGCCCTCTGCTGGCAGCTCCAGTAATAAACCCCAAAGGATTTTTACCACAGTTCTTCCAATTTCACTGCAGAATAAAGAAAAAAAGACTCAAATTAATTCCTAAAGCAGCTTAATGTAGCACCTGAAACTAAAAAAAGTTGTCCTTTTTTTGTTTCATATTTATCAGCAATGACTGATTAAATCTTTTTTTATAGCAGATGTTTGTCACCAGGGGCTTGTTTTATTATAAGGCACTTCATTGAGCATACTCATTTTCTGCATCCAGAGGGCCACGCAGCCACCTGGCAGCTTTATGGTGTGATCATCTGCGTGCTGAGAAGTTATTTTGAGCAACACCGGGGGGATAATATCATTAATATAAAGCACCGCCTAATGAGAAGGGACAAGAGGAACATATGTTGTCCAAGGAGGATGGAAAACGACTCAAATATCAGTTTAATACATGGAGAATAACTGAAGAAATGCTTTTTTTGCAGTATAGTCAGCTACTGTATTTTTTTCCAGCTTCCTACTGATATAATTGAAGGCAGTATAGTTTGAAAGAGAAAAGACTGATGTAGCTCACGTCAACAGAGAAACAGATCCAAATGACAGCTACGCAGGTGTGCCCACACTCAAACTAACTAAGACAGGGTTACAGAGAGCCGACCCGAGGGCAGCAGGCAGGAAAAAATAAATAACAGAGCTGATTATCCGATTTAGAATATGCACAGACTGCTGACAAACTATTTAGAAAATGACAATGAAAAAAGTGAATATTGTCATATTTGTGACAAAAACAGATTACTGTGGAGTTTGCTGTTTGATATCTGATAGTCATAACTGTTTAATAGGATGATCCATTTATATTAACAGCTGAAAGAGCGAACATCTGTCTGAGACGAAAAGCTCAAGGTTTTATGGTAATACTGCATACGCTGCTGAGATACAGTAGTCCCTCGCTACTTCGTGGTTTGACTTTCGAGCACTCGCTCTTTCGTGGTTTTTGAACGATTGTCAGCTTTATTACTCGCGTTATTGGGATGGTACGAGATAAAAAGTTAACCAAAAATAAATAAATTCAGACAGGCGCCACCATTTTGTAGTTTTCTTTTTATAAGCCTATACTGTAATGCCAGTCAAAAAAAACTACACTACCCAGAAGCCAACAGTGCTTCCAGATGCCACTTTCTTAAAGTTTTCTTTCAATAAGCCTACACTATAAGGCCAGTCAAAGGAACTACCATATTTTCTGGCGTATAAGTCACAGTTTTTTGCATAGATTTGCCAGTCCTGCGACTTAAGACGCCGAAGTGATTTATATACACTTTTTTCTTCCCATATTCATAACGCAATTTTTGACTGATGCTTTAAATTTGTAAGAACTGCAACAGCGAGTCCTCCCATGCGCACTCGCTTCACTCAGCTGGTGCAGGCGGAGGAACGTTAAGAGAGCTTTAGTGGGTGGTGGGGTGGGGGGGGATAGACGGACAGATGGACGGACGGACGGATGGACGAACGGATGGACGGAGGGATGGAGCCGTGCCACCCAGGTGAAATGAAGCTGTTTTGACCATTAAATAAACACGACGGGTCAGTGGTGACGCATAATAAATGTGACTTACACACAGGAAAATACGATGCACTACCCATAATTCAACAATGCACTATTTAGAAGACAACAGTGCTTCTGGTCACTGCTTTCTGCTGAAATGGAGGGAAAGTTTTGCAACGCAAATCTACGCTATCTATTAATCTCACAGAACTGGCAGGAAAATCACAAATAATCTTGAAGCTTCCTGAAGCTCAATAATCCACGCACACATCAACCTGGATGGGGCGGTGAGTTTCGTCGCCGCAGGTTCGTCATCTGGTGAACTGCAACAGAGTTGGACTGGAACAGAGCTGCTGGTCTGCAGAGCTGGTGAGTAAAATTTTGCAATACTGTACAGTACACATAGGTATGTTGTTGAAATCACGTAGGTTTAAGAGTTTAGAACATTGCAAGTGTGTCGGAAGTGTTTTTAAAGCCTTAAATTTATATAATATTAAAACAACGTTCCTACTTGGTGGTTTTTCCACCTATCATGGTGGTGTGTGGAACGTAACCTCCGCGATAATCAAGGGACTACTGTATTTAAAAAAAAATTTAATTAAAAGGCATAAAAACACATGATAACAGAAAGTACAACTCGCACTACATACATTTTATACCAGCCAAATAAGAACTCCGCTGTACTATCCAAGTACAAGCACCGCTTTTTTAGGAAAAAACAACCAACAAAACCCAACACAAATAACTTAAAAGATCATTTTGAAGCACCAAAGTTCATGCTCATTAATTCAGGTTCAAATCCAACAATATTCAGTCAGGTCATGTGGACTGTTTCATTTGTTGCTGAGACGTTTCGTCCTTCATCCGAATGACTTCAGTCTGAGGAGCCACAAACAGCTCACTCCCAGAATGGAAAAAAAAAACTGTTTATTGGTAAGATGGCCTCCAGGGCCTGCCCTCTCCCCCATCAACTCCTCTAAGACAGACCGTGCCAAAGTGGTTCAAAACACCAAAGTTCATGCTCATTAATCCAGGTATAAGTCCAACAATGTTCAGTTTTCAAGCCTTAACCATGAGAGAAAAATGGCTTTTAGATAAATTAACTTGACTAAAATTATAACTCAAGCAATCAATCAAAAAGCAGTCCTAAAAAAGTAAAATTTAACATAAAACTTTTTCTTTTACGATGGAAGGAAAATCTTTTTTTTTTTAAGGGAGGAGTTTGTGCTTTGCTCTGAAACAATGGTTCCCAACCCTGGTCCCTGAGGAACACCATCCTGTATGTTTTAGTTGTTTCCCTGCTCCAACACAGCTGATTCAGTGATTTACTTACATCCTCAAGTTCTGCCAAAGCCTGTTAAGCATCCATTCATTCAAATCAGGTGCGTCAAAGCAGGGAAAAACTAAAACATGCAGGATGGTGTTCCTCAGGGACTAGGGTTGGGAACCTCTGAAGAGTCTGCTTTCGATTATGAAGCTACAAGCTGTTAAGTTTTGTTTGAGGTTCAAAGTGAGCTGTTTAAAACAAATTCTTCTTGCTTTAAATGATGTGAAGATTCTTTCAGTGCTCATCTTCAGGAAAACGTACAATTTAAGGCAAAACAACTTTCTTTTGTGACATTTCTCTAAAATAAATTCCTCAAGATTCACTTTTTCTTCATGTGGAGCAACAATAATCTGATTGCCGTTTGATTATTTAAAACTTAATTTGCAGCAACCCAACCTAAACAGAAAAGACAGAGTTTTTTTTTTATTAACAATTTAGTTATATTTAACACATTCCCAAATAGAAAGTACTTTTTTTTTTTTGCTGATTACTTGTAGGAATGTAACTGTTGTACCTTTTGGGTTGGGGGAGGCCCAGGTGATGATGCGCCGCACCAGCCAACAGTTCAGAAAGAATTTCTTGGAGAAGCCGTGGCTTTTTCGAATGCTCGGCAAGTCCTGCCTTCCCTGAACTCTCTCTGACGGTGTGCACATGCCTGGTAGTTTACTACGGTATCTAAAAACAGGAGCCAAATTTCACATTTATGAACAATAAATAAAATACTTTAAATTCAACCACTGATAACAGGTTTAACTGCATTATTAGCAGCCTCAGTGTTGACCTTTATGAAGCTGCAGGTACAAATAGAAAACGGGCAGAAGTAACCACAGCAGAGTGTTAAACCAATGGTCACAAGTTACAGCGTTATACTAAATTATGCTAATTTGTGGCATTTGTACTGTCAGCTCTGCATAAACAAGATGCAAGACATTCCCATGGGCTCCTTCTGAACTAGAAAATGTTAAGTAAACTGAGCTGCTGTTCTTTTGTGATTCGGGATGGTTTTACTGTTCTTGTGCAAACTAAACGCAAAGACCATTTGCCTTCTATCTGCACCACATTGTCAGATTTTCAAATTAGACGAGTCAAAACTTTTGTTTTAGTCATCCTGAAGAAAAACAGGCATGAGATTCTAAGAGCTGAAGGCTGTAACTGTAAGCTCCTGAAGGTACTAATTCAAGATGAGAAGTTTCAGACATCGCAGATCATTCAGCTGCTCTGACTGCAGAGCGGCTCCCATCAGAAAGGTTCATCCTTCAATGCACAGAAATGAAAAAATTAAAATTAAAATCATATTAATCACCAGGTTCCTAATTGTGTTGCCTTACCTCGAGGCAAAACGCGACACACGAGCTCCCTCTGCTCCCTCAGCCTGCGAGTGATCCTCAGGTTTCACACAAGCATTTTCCCTTTCCTGAGCTGATCAACAGAGTGTAACAAGGGATGGAGGAGGAGGAGAGTGAGGAGAGCGAGGAGGGTGGGGTTGGGGGTTGCTCTGTGAAGAAGAGCCTGGATGAATGGGGGAGACGCTGGCCAAGAGTTGCTACAGCTTCAAGTTAAGAGTCAGAGGTGTTGGTGGCTCTTTGATCAGCCTCACAGAAAGCTTTCAGACTCTCAGTCTGCAGGAAAATGTCACAGTTTGCATGGCTTTAGGTGGATTACCAAATGGATGTTTAAAATTTTAAACCAAAACACAGATGACGACAGCGTTGACTCAAGAAACTCGTACCAAACCAGTGACGTTTTAATGTTTTACGTGAATGAAGGTGTAACCCACATAAAACATTGGGCTACTAAACCCACATCTGTAATTTAGGTTGTAATACCGGGACGATCCAGCAGAGGGCACTCGGTTTTTACTGAGTTGAATTTAACCAACGTGGTTTGGTCATTTTCCCCTATATTCTGAGGCATGCTCTTCACACATGCACTGACTGACCAAACTGTGGACTTTACAACCTGTTTATGAGTGACAGAAGTGACCACTCATTGAGAATGATCTGTGAAAATCCCAGTGAGAGACCGACGTGACTGCTTGTTGGGTAATATCTGTGGAAATTCCGATTGGTTTTATAGTGACTCTGGATTGTTTGCTCGTGATGACGAGCCGAGCCCATGCTAACTGTGGACAGGTGTAAACGGTGTGGCCAGCTGGGACATCCTTCCACAGAAGAACCTTCACAATCCGGAAAATCCATCTAGGGTTACAGATAAGATTCCATACACAACACTGCACGGGTAGCAACGTTGCTAAAGAACTGAACTTTTTTTTATTTTATTTGTTCATAAAAGGGAAAGCGCTCCATTTAATTTTTCTTGTATTTTGTTTTTCTACAATTGTAAATAATGTTTTTATTGCTTAGGTTGGGAGGCAATAAGATAATCAGTTCGGTATTCGGTTGGTGTGACATTACTCTTGGCGGAACCTAGTAGAGGTTAGTGCCTGCTCCCTACTGGTCCACTTCCAGTGTGATACAAAGGGAAAGTAGAAAAATGCGTATCAACCACAGCCATTGATACTTCCTATATACTACTACTATATGCTAGAGAAATTGCTTTTCCTGAAAAAATGCAGTGAATGCTTATTGCTGAAGGATTTGCAGAAAAATAGCTGAAATTTGCAAACAATAGCTGAAAAGGCAGAAAGAAGTTTAAATTAGATGAAAGGAGCAGAAGATAGGCTGAAAATAGCAGAAATTACCATGAAAAACTTGAATTTATCTGAAAACGGATGAAATTAGCTAAAAATGTTAAAACTACAGCTGAAATTTAGAACAAGCTTAAATTAGCAAAAGAAAGCAGAAAAAACATGTTTGCCCTATCATGCTGAAATAATCAGAAATGAGCACAAAAAAGTGGACATTATCTGAAAAAGCTGAAATTTGCACACACAAAAAACAGCTGAATAGTAGCAGAAAGAAGCTTAAATTACCAAATGAAGGAGAGAGAGCACAATTGTGTCCATTTAGGCTGAAAGAAGCAGACAAGAGCACAAAAAAGTGGAAGATATCTGGGGAAAAAAAGCAGAAATTTGTACACAAACAGCTGAATAGTAGCTAAACAAGCAGAAAGAAGCTTAAAGAAAAGAAGCTTCAGCAAAAATTACTACTACCACACCAAGGTTTAAGCTAAATATCAGTGAAAATAAACGTGTTAGATTTTTCCCCCCCTAAGGTCAATTAGCTGTGGTGGTCATCTTGAAACAAGTCATTCAGTTGTGGATGTGCAATTTATAACTACTTCATAAGAGTTTGATTAAATTGCAACCATTGGTTTATGAAATATTTTTCTAACAGACCATTGAGTGATGTTAATGGCAAATATACAAGAGCTTATGTGATCAGCTGGTTCTGAAGATGAAGACTTAGGGCTGAGACTCAGCTACTAGCACCCCAGATGTGGGCTCATCATCAGTAAAATGTACTGAGTTACAACAGCTTAATTAGCTGCGGCAGACATCTTGAATTGGGTTGACTCCCAAGTTATACAGGCGTATACATCATTAAAATGATTACTTTGAGTTTCTATCAAGTTTGTCCACTGGATTATGAGATATTTTGCTAACAGACAAGGCAGAAATGTGCTTGGCCACATTTCATGCAGCTGATTCTAGAGACAGCCAAGATGATAATTAAAGGTCTGCTGTTGATAACAACCTTATCTTTATTTTTTTGAAGGAACAAAATGCGTTTTTAGTTTAATCTGTAATACTGTACTTTAGTCAGTAGTGGTGTAACGGTACACGTGGGTGTATTGAACCGTTTCGGTACAGCATGTTCAGTTCGATCCACCTGCGCACCGTTTCGGTTATTTTTGCACTCATTAAATTTTATTAACGAGAGATTATGCGCCACAGAACTAAAGTTCCTACACGTGTTTCAGCACAGCGCTTTTATCTTGCAGCACGCGTAGCATTAGCAGCCTAGCATCTCGTTGCGGTCTCCTGTTGTGGAACATTATGTCTTTCTTGTTAAAAGACAAGTGAACAAATCCAAAGCTGTGTGTCGACGTCGTTTCACGGAGATTGGATCTGCAGCAGCAACACGTCTAACTAGTTAACGCACTTGAAACGACATCATCCGAATGTGAACGTCTCTTCTACAAGGAAGAAAAGCAGCTTGTTGCAAAGACCGATAAACAATACTGAGAAAATAATATTGCACAAACAAACGAAGGCTGTGATGATACAGAGTTAAACATGATCAGACTCCTGCACCGACTCAGAGCACCCTAACATTATTAAACAAATACTTGGAAATGTTCAACTTTTGGCGAATGGTTGAGGACAACAAAGATGATAATGTGCAGGTTTACTCATTTTATTACTACATTTGTAATATTAACTGCCAACATTGTGACTGTTCTTCCATTATTCACATTTCAACACAAAATAAAATGCTCAAAGTTTCTGTACATTATTTGTAAATGATCTTGTACCGGGTCGTTGGCTAAGTGGGCTTAAGCTTACATTTAAATACAGCCAACAAAATCCTGCACCTTGATATATGGTTGTACTGAAGGGAACATGGCACTGCTCCATCTAATTGCCTCCTCTGAGGTGATAAAAACATTTTCTATACCTGAGAAGACAGGGGGGGGGGGGGGGGGGGGG